GAGTGACCTGTCTGACCACCTGGCTTCCTTTGAGTTATCAGTTGAGGTCCTACAGGTTGATGACGCCATTAAGTACCAGCTTTTTCTGACCACTCTGAAAGAAGTCGAACTCCGATGGTTTAATAGTCTGTCGGATGACATCATCCCATCCTTCTTCGAATTCTGAAAACTCTTTCTGTCGTGTTTTGCCAATGTGAAAAAACTGAGAAATGACACGAAGACCCTGCTCAGACTAAACAGAGAGAAAACGAAAGCCTATGAGCTTACATTACCCGCTTCCAAAAAAAATGCAGGATGTGAAGAACATGTAACTACTCATTGGCTGGACCGCCCTAAAACAGGGAATTCGTAGCAAGCAGTTCAAGTATGACTTGAACTTACTTAGGCCAAGTTATTTTGCTTAGGTCCTAGAATTGACCAATGACCACATCACTGTCGAGGTGGACCTCATGGACTTTTCTGTCTCCATTTATATATTATGTCTTCTAATTTGTTGTTACGAGTCTATTTACTTTAATCATTTGAGCAAGTTTCTTGAGCTTAAATTTGAAATAAAGTTCTCATAGCTTTTGAAACTCAGGCGAGTCTTTTGAGTTAGTTTAGTGTGCTGAATCTAAGGAAACTCATTGTTTCTTTGATTGACGTTCCTTTCCACTACACAGTTTAGGAGATATGAGTATATTATTGCCAAATATTGCTCTTGTTAAGATTTAATATATATCTTCTAAGAATTTTTTCTTAAAAAATTAAGTTCTTTGCAGGTTACTACTTTCTAAGAAAAGAGATAATGATCCTTGAGACATGCATTAACTTATGTTTGATGGATTTTGACTCTCTTTTATGTCTTACTTTTTGGGTGACTTGAAAGGTACTCCTACATAGTTTTTCTCATTGCTTTGTGGTCTCTAACCTTCTCAAGAAGACATTCAATTATGCCCTAAATTTTTTTTTTTTTTTGTTGCAAAAACTTACTCAAAGTTTCTTTCCTTAAGCAAATAAAAAAGACATTATATTCCAGTCAAATGGCTATGCCTTTAAAATGAGTGAAGGTGAGTTATTTGAGTACTTAGCTTTCTTTTTTCTTATGGTAGTCAATTGTTATTTACAAGAGTGTGATCACAATGCCACTTCTTAGAAATAGAAGAATTTGAGGTCATCCCTGCTCCATTTCCTAACTATCTTTTTATCAAGATAAGTGATTAGCTTATACGCATTAGGGCCAACTTGCCTTGTGATGATGTAAGGCCTTGTTTATGAAGGATCAATTTCGTCAATTGCTTGGTTATGAGCTATAGCATTAACCTTTTTTAAGACTATGTTGCTTGCTTGAACAGGCATTTCTTGACTCATGTGTTATAATATTTTGAGTTTATTCTCTTAACTTTAGCCTATCACAACACATATTGATTGTGAAGCTCTTCTCGGAGATACAATGAGTTGTAGAGGCTTTCTTCATTGAGCTCTCTCCCTTCATTCAACTCTTGCTCCTCAAAGCTTGAGATAGTCGGGATTTGTTGAGTGTATATGTCATACTTACTAGAAGTATCACTTCAATCCCATGTGACAAGTTGACAAGAGTGTGTCCTGTAGAAGTGAAGGGCATAGTTTGTAACACCCATAATATATAGGGTAGAATTTCAACCCATTGTCCCTTTATTCCTATTATCTTCTTCTTCAACAAGTTCACAATCAATTTGTTGGCTACTTCTACTTATTCATTGGTCTTTGGATGGTGTATAGAAATGCGTTTGAGTTATATCCCTTATTCATTATAAAAAATCTTAACTTTTTTATCAACAAATTGGGTGTCATTATTGGTGAAGATTATGAGGGGTAGTCTACATCGATAGATAAGATATATCCTTATAAAGTTGCAGACTGCATCAACAGTGATTCTTGCAAGCATTTTGGCTTCAATTCACTAGAAAAATAAGTGATCCTTATGAGAAAAAACTTTTCCTATTCTTTAACTCAAGGAAAAGGACCGAGGAGGTCCATTCCCCATAATACAAAAGATTAAGGAATTTTGATTGATTGGAGCTTTGGAGAAGGGCATTATTGCATGGGAGTAAATCTCTTGCATTGCTCATATCATCGTGTGAACTTCTTTGAGTGCTTAGTTAGGGTTTGCCAATAATACCCTTGTCATAAGATATGATTTGTCAAAATCATTCCTCCTGAAAGACTTTTTAGCTTTTAGTAAATATTTTACTACGATATCCTCTCATACTTTGAATACCCAATTTTTTGGTTAACAACGAGATACAAGTTTGACTTAACTTGAAGATATTTCAATCTGATTTCCAGTGGAATGCGCAACCAATGGTTAGTGTCTCATACTCAGCTTGATTATTAGAGGCATCAAGTTCGAGTAAAATTAAATGATGGGATACAAGTCCCCTTTTGGGATTTTTAGAACCATACCCACTACTTCATTAGAGTTCCTAACGCTCTGTCCACATAAATTGTCCAAAGTTTATCTCTAATGTTGGTTTCATCTTGGGTTAGTCCTTCTGAGAAATCTATTAGGAATTCAACTATCACTTGGGCTTTGATCACCATCCTTGTAATGTAGAAAATGTTGAACTCGATCCTTTTTACTAACCATTTTAATAAACTCCAAAAATGGTCAGGCTAAAGAAGCACTGATATGAGTGGATGGTCTGTGATCACGTTCACGGTATGTGATTGAAAGTAAGTGATGCAAGACAGTATAAGGTTATTTGTATAAATGAAGATCATATTTTGTATGGAAGTGAATTAAGTAGTGCAATGAGATATTGTTAAAATTGGTGAAGAAATTGTAAAAATTAAGTGAAAGCTAAAACATATTCAAAGTTTCAGGCAAATGAAGACAAATATCCCCTTACAATAGCATAAATAAGAGCCTAAGAAAGTGCCCAATTAAGAGACCATTCAAAGCATATCATAAGAACCATATCAAGAAGAAATATTTGAATTTGTAATTTATTATTTATATTTAAATTTAAATTTTTATAATGCTTGAATTTTAAAAATTGGAGGATTTTATGGTTGGTTATTAATATATATATATATATA